TACTGTCACGGACGGAGGATTATCATTATTATCAAATGCTCGTGCCAGCGCAGTGATAGAAGGCGCGTGAGCCCGAGGATACGATGCATAACGTATGGGCCACGCGTGGATACTGAAAGCTGGGCGCCGGTTTCGCTCGGAATTGGGCGTCGCGACGCCCGGTAATAATGCACGCGTCGGTGTCGGTTGCACTCTGCACCCCGCGTTAAGCCAGAGATACCGTCAGCTGTGTGCGGATCCGTCGCATCAGGGAGTCGAGGGACGGACGAAGCGAACGTTCCCGATCCGTGGCAATGGTTATTGTCTTTCCGAACGCCGGTCACGATTTTCAGCCGCAATAGAAATCGCTTTGCGATGCTGAATCCTTCTGCCTTTTGTCTCGTCCAACGCGGAATGCCGTTATCGATCCCTCGCCCCGTGCCGCTTTTCGCCTGCCGAAATAATTTATTTCCACCGATGCCTCGGCCACTGTTTCCTGAACGAGGTCGTACGGAGAATTAATTCTAATCCATCGTAATTCGTCTCGAATGATTTAAACTTGTTATTCTATTCGTTATAAATATACATAGTATTTCTGTAGGAGTGCAGAAATTTTAATATGCATCTGGTGATTCTGTAGGTATTTCTGAACAACAATTTCCTTTCGCAAATTGCATAGTAAGGCATGGTTATTGAATTATTAACGAAAAACACTGAGCAATGAGAGCACGCGTAGGACCCGCGTTACGATCCAAGTCAACTTACCCGTGGCTGTACGCGGGGCCTACTCGTGCTATGATTGGCCAGTATTTTTCATTAATAATTCAAAAACCAAAGCCTTATTTCGCATTTCGCCAAAGGAAATTGTTGTTCAGAAACAATTCTTCTGGGACGCCCACTACAGTAATTTCATCTCTTACTGGGGACTTACTGGGAACTCTTATTGGGGATGAAACATAAAAAGTTTTCAGCTGCAAATATATTGACTGATAGGAGCAATATAGATGAAATCAGTGGATTTTAAGACGGGATCGAAAAGTTGATTAGACGGTCAGGATTTCGGTGTATCAATGTCGAAGGGAATTCTATTCTTACTAGAGAATCGATTTACTATCCTCTCGTTTGTTAGCCTTTTTTACCAGGCTAACCGAGAGCACCGGTGATTCAATTGTGGCTGGACCCGGGGTAGAGTTACGTGTCCGTTTCCTCCACGATTTATTTCCTGTCGCGGCTTCGATGCCGGAGCAGAGATCGATTAGCGATTGAGATCGATGGTTTCGGTTCGATATTAATTTCCTGAATTTGTCGAACAGTCCAGCACTCGAAAAAATGTCAACGTCCGTTTTTCTGGTCAATAACCCCCGCGCGTAAGTTTTTCTACCATTGCATGTCTGGGTTCTTCCACGGCGGAAGAAACAGAATTATTTCTTCGGGATAAAGCAAACATTTGTCGGGACCGGTGTTTACCGTAATAGCCTAAGGTAGTGGTGATCGATGAATCGATTGGCGGAAGCGAAAGTTCAGTGGGTCAATTTGTCGCGTTGAACTTTCGGCATAATCGATCGGCTTCCCATTTGCCCCGAGTCGAATCCCCTTCGACAGCCACTAAGGACGGGATCGATTATCCCTTGAGGAGGGAATTCTCGAGGTGCCGCGGCACTACTACATAGCTCGTAAAATGTCTTTTATACCGGTCACCCGCCCACCTCTTACTCCGTAGTCTGCTCCCAAGTTCCCGGTGGAGGAGCAATATGCCAGTGAAGAGGCCTGCGCCAGTTAGGAGCGCTGCTCTCCGGTAGAAACGAAGACGTTTCATAATTAGTTTAAATACGTCCTACGACCTTAAGATGTAATGTATAGAGTGTCTTAGTATTGCTGGTACGATTACGCAGGGAATGATTATACATGAGAAAATAAGTCAAAAACGTGACATGAATTTGTTTAATTCGAATCTTTATTTTGGAGAAAAATATTTTAGAGAAAATAAATTTTCTATTAATTTTTGTTATCATGTCACAACCTGTTGTCAACAAATCTTACCTGTTAGTCAGCATTCTCAACAATTGACCTTTTAACGGTTGTACCATCAATAGTGGGACACTCTGCCACAGTCAATATACTGAATAATTTTGCAATCGGAGACAAACAAGTCGATATTCGTTTCGCGTCAACGATTCAGCTTGTTCTGTTCATTACAAGAACTACGAATTTTCTAATAAGTTTTTCGACGTTTTGTCAGAGGTAGACAAAGACAATTTTCTGCGAAGCGTAAGTCGGTACAAAGTAATTTGCAAGGTAGTATGTACGTTTGTAGCGAGGGGCAAGGTATTTGTCCAAGAATGTACGATCTTGTGGAGCAGGGCGACGTCGTCGCCGAAAATTGAACGGACAGGGAACAGGGTCAGTCAGCAAATCATGACTGACCGTAGCGAGAATTCGTGAAACCGGGGCACGAAGGAATTCTCCATGGGAACGAGTGCGCCACGGCATCGCTCGTCTTCTTCCACCATCGCCGCACCGTGTTCGGATAAACAGTCCTGTGGATAAACCCGTTATTCCTTCCTCACAGTGCAAAATGTCACGGGAATAACAAGATCGTACCTACCAACCGGAGCTGATTACTAATGTCAATGTTTGCCGGCGCGATGGTCAAATCGTCCGTATCCTCGTGCTGCTACCACCTCGTACGCTCGTAGAATTCAAATGTCCCTCGGTGCACAAAAGTCAACTAATCACTCTTCGCCGAAATCCGCACACTACATATTTGCCTCTTGCACTTTACTCTGCTAATACGCTCTCGACAACATTAAAGTCCAATTTTCCGTTACGCTCTGCTGTGCCAAGAACCCTTTACAACTATGTACAGGTCACACTTTATTTGCTCATGCATTTTTCTATTATTACATCGCCAGTTGAACAGTAGATACATTATTCTGATTTCGAGTGCTTTTTAGAATACAGTTTATATAAAACTAGAATTTCATGGAAAGCCAGGCAATTTCTCGGAAATTTGCATGGAGGAACCAATTTCCAGGTTCGCAATTCAGTAGCATTAAACAGTCGATTATAACATTTTTATTATTATAACAGCCAATTTTTCTTTTCAAACATTTCGGGAGACAATAAAGGATAGATAATAATAAGAAAGTTAATTAATGTCACGTTCAAAATTAGTTTATTTAGTCGTTGAAAATACATTATAATAAAGTCAAGGCTGCCAGTTGGATCATAATTTCTGAGAGGACTACGTAGGTACTTTCAAATTATAATAAGTTCGTTTGCTTTAGGTGTCCATCCAGCTGTTGTGCTTGCAGCAGCACGAACTGACTGTTTTATGAAACATCTGTGTTGTATCTTAGATATTGCGGTATTCAGTGTTCCAAGTGTGGTCGGAGGTTACGTTTCCAGGGAGGAAATGAAGGTCTCCGAGTTGACAGGGCGACCCTAAAGTTGGTCAGCAAACCGAGGAAATCCTAAACCCCGAAGCTTGTCAGATAATCCAAACTCGGTGCATCGAACACTCAAGTACGGCGGCTGATTTCGCCGCATGTCTAATCTTAGTAATTCTGTTTGACTACTATAGATTGTCAATATATCTGAAACATCTTAAGAGGCTATCACGTTGTGACGATTGAGAATGTTAACCGTCACAGACGAATTTTTTCTCAAAGAGTATCGCATGTTGTTTTGTACCGGCGGTCTCGCGATTCACCTGAATTTCTAAGAGAATCGTAATTTCTCTTACGCGTTGCTGCAACGGAATTAAACGGCACGTGCTATAGACGAACTTAATTGGCTACAACTAACATTATGACATTGATATTAAACCGTATCATTTTACTTAAACTCGCTTAACACGCAACATTGTATAATCTAAATCAGAGATACTTCATACGATTCGTAGAGGGAAACGAAGTAAAGTTCGTTGAGTTTGGATTGTGTAATGAGATTCTGGTCGCAGAACAAGTGATTTCTTTCGGAAAATTTATTCATAATACAGACGGTATCGCGAGATGGGGAACGCGTTTCATCAGTGGAGCGGACGATACGATTCTTCCAAACAAGTGGACGGGTTCGTTCGAGGTAGCGCAGCATTTTGTTGATTGTACTCGATGCGAATTCCTCGATGGGGAGGCAGGAGGAGAGATTTTTCCAAGCCACGCAGCGGGAGAATTGATCCAATTCGGTCGGTCGAGCCTCACTCCTTGCGGAAAAAGTATCTCGGATATACCATATCGAGGAGATCTCCGTCCATCGTTATTGGATTTTATTCGCCGGACCAACCTTTTTCTCCTCTTTGTGTTTAACAAGGAGATTGAATTTGAGCACTACGGGCAAAAACAACGTTTCTGCTTTAGTCCGTTACGGCTCCTTTTTGGCCGTTTAAGAGAACCATTCGCTGTGTTATTCTTGGTTCACGGCGCTTTGTTTGCCGCTTCAAACTCGACTGTTCTATTGTACCTGTGAATACAATGGGATTCTTGTTCGTTTTAGAAATCGATTGATAATCGCGCGTCCATTGTCAACAGAAGGCTACTTGGAGAATTTGGGATGGTCGAGTAAAAGTTACGAAACGAATATTAAATGTTATATACACAGGTAATAATAAAAAGACAGTAGAACAATTGATTGTCCAAATAAAGAACGAAGCATTTATATCTATAAAGTAATTCTGGCAGAGATGGATTATTTTTTTAAAAACCTTCGGAAATCAAATATTTCAGAAATATTAAGTGCTTTGTGTAATTTATATAATTTTCTTCTATAACATATAATTGAAATATTTAATTATTTCAGCCAAGTCATCAGGCATAAGCTACGTCCGCATTTTCGCCACGTGTTATATGACATGCCAATTGTCTATCTATTCTCATTTTTTATCTATCTAGCAACATCATGCAGATAAAACTATAATTATTCTGCTCGCCTTACTTTTTCATTATATTATATTACAGGGTTTTTAACCCTTGAAATAAATAAATAAATAATTATATTATAAGGCTTGTCTGTTTTGATTTCAGAACCGGTGACTGAGATTTCCGGGGGTCCGGATCTGTTCATTAACAAGGACAGTACAATAAACTTGACCTGTTTGGTCAAGTATTCTCCCGAGCCACCGTCCGCGATCGTTTGGAGTCACAATCACGAGGTAAGAACACGTTTCCGTCCTTGTTTCACGGACAGTTTTATCAAAGGAATTCATTGTTATATTGTCCTTATGCATCGCATATAAATTTTATCTTAAGCTGTGTATAATATATTTTAGAAGAAATAGTTAGATAAGCTGTAGAGCTAATTATTTTATTGAATTACACTAATCTGTTTGTATGTAAAATTATATGCAAGGTGAATGACTCAATTTCTACTCAGTTAAGCATGACTTCGTTATCAACTGAATATAAAAAAAAATGCATGAGTCAAAATTTATAATGTAAGGTACTTTTCACGTTTAACCCACGTAGTCTTTTTCACGCGGAATTCGCGGATGGAATTGGCACGTCCATCATCGATCGCGGTCGTATGTCCGTCTCATTGAAGAAACCGGAATGTAGCTTTCAGATGACGTTTCATAAGGCATCTTCTTCGAGGAACGTGTTTCAGAGGCGTTTTGTCGAGCCGCGACGCAAAGATGCATTTCGCCACTTAGAAAAGACACTTCCCGTCATCACTTGGCATCCCTTGTCCCCAACCGAAAGTAGCTTTATTCCCGGGTAGTCACGTCACGAGAAGATTCTCGGTATCCTTGTCTTCTTTTGTTTTGCAGCCGATTAACTTCGACTCGCCGCGGGGCGGAATAAGCCTGGTCACAGAGAAGGGGCCGGTTACCTCAAGCCGGTTGCTGATCCAGAAAGCGATCGACAGGGACTCCGGATTATACACTTGCTCGCCGAGCAACACGCATTCGAACAGCGTACGAATTCACATCGTCAATGGTAAACCAAATTCAGCATGATCTTTCGATTATCTGTTTGAATATTTATTACAGGAAACAATCGCAAAATATATACAGGGTGTTTCAAGAAAATCTATACTCATTTATTAAACAATGTGTGTAGGTTCTATTGCATTTTGAAAATGAAGTTTATTTTAATAAACACAGACTTTATGATTATGTGAAGATTGTATACATTTTTTGGGACATCCTGTATAT